TTTATAAGCCCCCTTCCGGATCCCAGATCCAGCGGGGGCTAACTACAACTATATTGTTCATATTCAGTATCCAACTACATGTATATAACTATATTCCAACTATATTATATTAAACTATATTCAGATAGGATTATGGGTAATATAAAATGTTCTGCATATGTTGATGTTTCTAGATTTGTAAGGCCAACAAAATAAACATAGAGTTGGTAGTCAGATTATATTTTTTTATAATAATTAATCTTTTGTTGTCAGCAAGGAGCTGCTGGGCATGCTAGTTAATACTGGTATAGATGACCCTTTTACAAGTGAAATTTTCATAATACATGTAATGTACATGTACAGCCAAAATTTGTGTGTGAAGAATGTGTTCGACATGTATCTAGAAACAGGAAGTGAGCAAACTTCAGTGACCATTTTCTAGCTATGAAAACATACACGGCCGGCATGCAAAATGTAAGCAAGGTTGCAAAGCCAGAAACATACTACCATTTTGGGGGCCAAATTAGAATAAACCAGAGCCATTGAATCACATAACATAAATCTCAATAAACAGACACTTATTATCAGCAAACAGGCCTCAGAATTTAACACTCCTTAAATTGTGTACTACTGAATATGTCACAGCTCTATATCACAATGCATTGTGGGAGAAAATCCAATTCCTAATTTTCGAGTTGTTAGTTTTCTACGGAATTCCGCTAGAGGGCGCATCCAAAATACCCGGATGACGAGTCTGAGTGGGGTTGTTTTTATTGAAGTCTTGTATTCTTACATGCGTAAATCAATAGATTGGAAAAGCAAAAAAGTTCCAGAAATTTCTTCGGGATCGTGGTATAACTTGCAGCAATATTAATGTTCGTAAAGCTAAACTTTTTGAACTTGTTGAGTTAGCAAACGAGTTAAATGTTCGCCAAGAGTAAAACAATCGTCGTCGTACTGTAAAACACAGTGAGTCGACGATAACTCTGGTAGATCCGTGTAACGTAAAAACTTGGCAAAAAAAACCTTCATACTTTGCCTTTGTTTGAAATAGCTGATATGTTTGCATATTTGTTGCATCAAGTGACTGGACAACAGCCAGACTGAAAGAATATCGACTTGATAATGGTCATTTACTTCATAATTTCCGTAAAGCTTCATCATGTGCAGAATACAGAATTTATTTTCATTATGACAGAGTGTATTCGGCAATGATCCATGAAGGAAAATCCTTACAAGCCATGGTTTATTATTAAATCAAACTCTAAAATAGTTTCTGGTGTTTGTTACTGTGTAGTGTAAGTTTGATTTAATATGATTCACCAGGCGATCAGCAGATGCAGTTATCATATTGTTTTCGTTTGCGCTCGTCTCGAAAGCTGACAGTCTTCGTTTTTCAATCGATGTATAACTGCGGTTGAAAGACAGCTGTCTCCAGTTATTGAACTAAAAAAATACTGGCGCAGGATGGAAAATGCCGTGAACAAACCCGGGAATATAGTTTGGCATCCACTCAGGTTCCCGACGACGCATTCGAATTCATTGGCGTTGAAGTGTTGATTTCTTGGTCGAAAGAAATGTATGAAAAGTTACGCCTTTCATCTCAGGATATTTCGCTGTTTTTTTCTTTTTAATCGAACCTCAGGAATAGCTTGAGGCATTACAATACCAGTTACCCATTTTGACCAATTCTTGCAAAACGTTTGTAAAAAATAAGACTTCGGCAACAGTAACTACTAGTATATTGCTTACAGCAGACACCGCTCAAATTTCAACCCCACCACGAACGTTGAACGAACTGTCATCCGGATACTTTGAGAACGCTCTCTATCGAATTTCGTGAGAAAAATAGTAACTCAGAAATTAGGAATTACCACTGGTAGCATACGTCTACAATATTGTAAAACACCACCACATATATCGCACTGATTTGAAATTCTGAAAACGATCCTACACGGAACTTACCAAAGTCTGCTTTACAGAAAACTTCAGTATTCACCCGCGTTTCATAGCTAGGGCATCTGGAAAAACAAGCAACCTTCCCTGCATTTGAGAGGGGGCAGACCAAATAAATAGAATGGATGAGAGAATCATATATACGCATGCAAGATATGACGACAATACATGACAACTACCACTACCTACAGGGGAAAGAGAAAGAAAAAGATATGAGGTTAATTTACTGCGTTAGTATAAAGCCTAAAGTAGGGTGGTAATGTGAGCAATGTTTATGAACTTTTCTATTGATATATTTGTTTTCATAATGCTCTTGACTTTATGAGAAAGGCAGTAGATATTGTTTATGAGAATGAAGGGAAATTTGTCCTAGAAATAAGGGCCAAATAGAAGTTAAGCATTTCAAACAGTTCAACTGAAAAATATTTTGTTTTTGGAAATTCACTAATTTTTTATTTAAATCTTTAACAATACATGTATATGATTTGTTAAGCCTGTGTCACTAAATAGAAAGCAATCAATGCAAAAACAATCATTTTTCACATTGAAATTTTGATTTAAAATGCACGTTGATATTTCACTGATAATTGCATATTTGTTTTATTTGAATATCAATATTAGGATGAAACAAAGAAAACCACCACAGGACGTACATGCAACTAGGTCTGGCAATTTGTTTTCTATTATTCATTTTAAAAATAAAATTTAGCAACAATTACAAATCTCAATTTTAGTTTTATCATCTTTTTTACTGTCAAAAACAAATTTTGGAACACATTAATTAAAGGCAACTAATAATTCTATGAGACCAGTGTGAGCTTTTTATTGCACATCCTGTGTGAATTTGCATCGTGGTATAATTTGCATTTCAATACTATTCACAATTTTCTCTCACTTAATAATCAATAAATTAAATACAAGATGTATCCACCTGTTTTATTTTATACCAAATATGTCTAGATTGCCAAACATACATGTGGTACACAGAGGATTTTCCTGGGCTTGATTGAAACCTATACCGCACACTGTATGTATAA